ACTGCTATAGCTGAACCCAGGACAGTATATATAAAGATTTTTTTTTATATATATACATATGTATATCCTTCTCCACATAATTTGACCCAGCAGCTTGCTGTGCTGCACAAGGAAAATCAAAGTGTGCAATCTCTCCAATCTCTTTTCACTCAATACCCAATCACAGTACATTGTGTGTGAGGGGGTGCATTAGGTTTAGTTGAAATTTTGGCAGTTCACTACCATGCATCCCTTAGAGGATTTCCTCATCTTTTCTATTTCCCCCCAGTTGGGGAAAAAAACCCAACATTAGAAATCTGTCCTTTTGGAGAAAAAACTTCCTTGAATAAGGCAAGGTCTACAATGTTTCCTCTTTCTCCCATCCCAAATAATGCTTTCAGTTGCATATCAGTAAATTAAAACCAATCTTTTCTGAAGATTCCTTTGCTTCCCGTAACTCACAGTTGTGCAGATTTTCTTAGTTCTTAAAAAGAATAAATTAAAGAAGTGTGGGCTCTCAGTACAAGATGCTTCAGCTGAGAAGAGAGTGTTCACTTCTTCTTGGAGGAATGGTTATACCATGCTTGAGGGTGGTGAGGCACTGGAATAGGTTGCCCAAAGAAGTTGTGAATGCTCCAACCCCGGAGGTGTTCAAGGCCAGGCTGGACAGAGCCTTGGGTGATATAGTTGTGTGTGTGGTGTCCCTGCTTATGGCAGGGGGGTTGGAACTAGATGATCTTAAGGTCCTTTCCAACCTTAACTATTCTATGATTCTATGATACAGGCTGTGTTCTTAGCCTGTAGGTGCCACTGTAATACAAATGAGGCTTTAGAATAGCAGCCTGAACATAAGCCTAGCAACAGTGCAGGCACATCCCATGATTGTGTTTTAATAACGAAGATACTGTGGGGCTTATTGTGTTAGCCAGTAAAATCCAATAATAACTGAAAGTGGCAAATTAACCTCTCTCTATCCAGCAGCCGTTTGCAGAGAAATAATCTGATCACCTTTGTGTTTAGTTTTCTATATCAACTTTTTGTCATTCTTTTGACACAATTCTGTTTGTTTTCACAAAAATAAACTGTCTTTCCAGAACATCCAGAATCATTTATGATTTGCTCCCAGGATGGGAGCTTATGTCATTCTTAAATAGATTTTGAAGATCAATCAATGCAATCCATGTTGCAAAACTGGTTTTGCTCTCATACAGCATAGCTTGATGTAATGTAGAAGCACCCGTATGTTCTTGCTGAAGTAGTTTCAAATGCTTGGTGATGATGTGTGTGTTTGTAGAATAGCATTGGCAGCTGAGAGCGGAGCTTTGCAGAGATCTAACACTAGGCTATGGCCAAATACATCTTTGAGGTATCTGTCAGCCTGGAGATGGTATTAGTAGTTGTGGGAGCCCTGCATTCTTATTTAGTGTGCAGTGCTGCTGTTCTCTGTTCTTTTCCTGATCTTCATGAGAAGAAGCTGGCCTCCACGCGCTTTAATTCAAATTACAGTGTTATCAACAAGTAGACTTTGGCATAAGGATTTCCTTAGATCTTTTTCAGCTACAAGGCAAACCTGCTGCTGACTCCATTTCCATAAAGCACAGAGAATGGATCATGATGTGCCTTCCTAGCTAGACCTTCCATAACTAGTTTTTTATGCCATGTTGTGGGTGACAATTTGCCTTGCTTCTCCAGAAACAATTCTACCAATTGGGTTTGTCCATCTGATATTTTAAAAGTATTCCTCTTTGAAATAAAGGACAGAAAATGGAATGGCTTGATTTAACATTAGAGAATGAATGTGGTGAGTTGATAACAAGTATTCTGGTCATAGTCTAGTTCAGAGCCTTAGCACAAGAAGAGTAAGAACAGCAGTGGTTTCATTTGAGCTTCTATTATTAAATTTTATCATGAATTTTATTATGAAGTGCATTAATTCTTCTATTTTGAATGTGTAATACAGTTAGCTGAAATCTTAATTTCCTATCTGTTTCTTTTCATAGACAGGCTTTAAAGACAACTTTGTGTTTTAAGAATCTGTTCTGGTTCTTAATTTTGTGCCTTTTCAAGTAGGTTTAAGTAAAATAAAGACTTGGTATAAAGGCACTAACATGATTTTCTTTTAAAGAGATTCTTTTTTTCCTCCCCAGTTATTGGTATGTGGTGGGAACCTCTTTGATGCAATCTCTATCGCAGTGAAGGCAGCTCTCTTTAACACAAGGTAAAGCACACATCTCCTTTTGTGTGAGTGGAAGTGTCATGGGAAGAGGAAGAGAAATACTCTGTGAGCTAAGCATTTTTAATGCTTAAGTATTTAAATAAGAAATACACAAGGCAACTTGCATTCAGATACAAGGCAGTCCATTTGCATGCAAGTTACAGGAACTGATGTTATTAGAAACTGAATCAAGTGTTATATTACATTATTTCACAATTAGGCTCACCATATAACTATATATATCTGTAGCCAGATCCAGAAAAAATTGTCTTTGACCATACGGTTTAGTTGCAAGTTGTTGGAGGCCTTTGTGTGGATGCCTTGTAGGTTTAAAACAAGAAGGATTTACTGCTACATGATGCTCCTGAGTAAGAAGCCCTCTGTCAGTGTGACTACTGATTTGTAACTAAAAAAAAAAGTGTTACTTGTAACTATAAAAAGTGTAATTTCTTACTTCTGATGTTCTTTCTCATTAACTGTTAGTCTAGAGTTCTTTTTAAACTAAGAGGAAAAAAATAGTAGCGGGAGATTGTGAGGAGAGGGAAATGATTTGTCTTTAAAAGAACTTTACCCCATGCGTTTTAATCAAAGAATGAAAGAACAAAATCTGGTAGAATGAATGGTGCAAGTGCTCTCTATGTGTTTTAATGAAAACATTCAATAACATTTTTAATATATGTGTATTTAAAACATTTAATATTTATAATATTCAATAATATATATTGTTTTGAATGTTTACAAATTGTTCTTCAGCTGTAAATTAGAGATCTGCTAAAGTCACTGGTATAGTTCTGGCTTATTCATCAGGGAATCAGCACACAGTACTAGAGCTGGAAAAGTACATGCAAGAAGAGGAAAACACTTTTGAAGGCAGGCAGTATATCAGGTTAGAAACACTTTAAAAGGGAATAGGGGAGAATCCATCTGAGACTACAGCTTGTGTATATTGCCGAGAAATTTCCCATGTTAGTCAAGTTCTCAACAGTAACTTTTCACTGTCAACAACATGGTTGACAGTGCACTGAAAGGAAGAAATGCTTGTGTCTCTGTGTAAGCTGCCAGGATGTAAAAGTCATACAGTAAAAATAGTTGCTCTCATGTGAGTTGTTTTGCAGATCCAAGGCATGTGCTTTATTTACAAGATAAATAGGTCTTTTTTCCTTATGTCTGAATAAAGAGAGGGTATCATATAAAAGTAATTAAAATAAAAAAAGAAAAATCTGTTGCCTTGGGAACATGGGCAATGTGAAGGGTGTAATTATTTTCATGATTCTCCTTTATTTTCATTCTCCTGACAACTGTAGCCTTCATATAATCCAATCTGTGGGCAAGCATCCAGTGTCTTGTGGAAGGTATCAAATCAGAATGTGGTACAGTATGATATAATGCAGAGCCTGTTGATTTTTTACATGTGTAAATCCTGTCTTTTGATGTGAGCAGGGGATGCTAGTACATCTGATCTCATATGACCTCAGAAAGTCAAGAGGTGAAATTCACGGTGAAAACCTTTTGTCCTTATTCACCATCCTGCTCCCTTTCCCTTAGTACCTACTAAGTTTTCTTTGGATTAACACAAGGTTGTTTAAAGTAGCTGCCCACTTTCCATGGAATATTATTGTCCAAGCAAGACAAGATGTCAGTTTGAAGATCACTTCGGATTAAGTGTTCTGGACTTCACTTGACAAGTGTTTCCTTCTGAGTCTTACTTGCCTTTCATAATCTGTCTGCAACAGATATGACTGTTATAGGGGGAACATTTGCTCTTCAAAGTATTGTATTGTTCATTGTGTTCTAAAAAATATATCTCAGGATCACATGCAAAAGATAGCAGGTATCAAACTTTCTTCTTTTCTGTGTCTCCAAGGTGCTTGAGGCTAGATTTATCTGCCAGATATTGCAAAATGTGCAAGTAGCTAAGTCAGGACTTAGCATTAATCTTGATCCTGTGGAATTGTGCCTACTTGCAACCAAGGCAACAGAAAATAGGCAAGTTACAAAAGCTGGAGTTTCTAACACAATAGCCTTGCAGATGTCATGAATTTTTGCCAGGCAGCATGGTAGAGGCAGAACTGATGCCTGCTTCCAGGAGGAGAATTGTTTTTGTAGTCGTGAAACCTGGGTCTGCATTGTTCATTATGTGACTTAAGTCCTGCTGTACAGATTTCTGCCCTGATTAGCTGCAGGAATCGAAATAGAAAAGTAAACAGAATCGTAGCATCAGCCAGCTTGGGAAAGACCTCTAACCTCCTCTAGTCCAACCATTGCCCAGCACTGCCAAGGCCACCACTAACCCATGGCGCTGAGGCCTCGTCTACACGGGGTGTGAACACTTGCAGGGACGGTGACTCCAGCACTGCCCTGGGCAGCCTGCTCCAATGCCCTCAGCGCCCCTGGGGAATGAATTGTTCCTCAGCCCCATCTAAACCTCCCCTGGTGCAGCTTGAGGCCGTTTCCTCTTGTCCTGTCCCTTGTTCCTTGGGAGCAGAGACCGACCCCACCTCACTGCAACCTCCTGTCAGGCAGCTGTAGAGAGCGATAAGGTCCCCCCTGAGCCTTCTCTTCTCCAGACTAACCCCCCAGGTCCCTCAGCAGTTCCTCATCACACTTGTGCTCCAGGCCCTGCACCAGCTTCGTTGCTATCATTTGCAAAGTAAACATGTACAGCTGGTTCTTAAGAGAAATCTTCACAAGCTGAGAGAGAAAATGTCCTGGTTTATGCAAATGTTTTGTGCTACACTCTCTATGCCTAGTTTTTGTGTGTATGTGTACCCCCTTTTTACGCAACTGTGATACTTGTGTCTGATCAATTGTCTTTTTGCCTCTGTAGTAGTTTGAATTTGTACTTCTCTAATCTGTTCTTGGCCAAACAGCTCCTTGCAGGCTTTTTTCAGGTATTAATTCTAGCAACTTTTTCTTGCACACCGAACATTGCTCTGGTTTCACAGCTGTTTTAGGATGGAGTTAAAAATTGCTTGATCTCACACATTTTCCTGAAATATTCCTTCTTTTTTAAATGCTGCTCTGGCATATTCATTTCTTGTCTAGGCTGTTGTCCAATGTTGTCCATTGTCCTGAGCAGCTTGAGGGTTAGTCACCTTGTGACTTGATTCCATCAGGTTTTAATAGGATATTTTAAACTTCAAAATAGGCTTTGATGCATTTCCTATGAGCTTCAAAGCATTTTGAGTTTCATTTCAGGAAAAAGAATACATTACAATTGTTCTGCTTACTGAAAGTTTTAGTTTTAGCTTGGCTTAGGCTTGTAGGCAATTTGTTAGCTGTTGTGAAGTACTCGCCTCTAGGACTTTGAGCAACAAATAACTAAAATACTCTTCCAGGGAGCAACAGAAATCACTTTGTGTTGGTGGAGGGAATGTTCACTAAATCAGTCCCTACCTCCTCCTCCTTTAGAAGAGATTTGATACAGAATGCATAGAACAATGTAACCTTCAGAGTGTAGTTATAAAACACAACACGACTGTAAAAGTACTAATATGAAACGAGATTGTGGTTACATTCCACATGGTTACTGAAGTTAGCTTCCTAGGGATGGCTTGAAATACATTATGTTTTCAAGTGCAAATGTGTAAGAGTGAGAGTGTTATGGCATGTAGGTTTTACTGGCTAGTACAGCCAAGTCTCTCAGGCAGTACTCCATCCTAGTGGGCACCTGGATAAATGAGGGTATATGAGATACTGACATTCTTGGCGACTTGAGATACTATCTTGTAGTAAATTGTTTTAAATTACTTTAATCATTATGCTAAGAAAACTACATTAAACCATTGTATAAAACTCCCATTAAATGGCTATCACCAATACAATATATATACCACTGATAAGGAGCCTGACAAGCTCATTTGCACAAGAGCTCATCCCTCACAACTGAAAAGAAAGCATCTCTTGGGTTTCTGCCTGAGTTTTTAGCCCTAGTTATTGCCTTTGTGTATCTGTCCTTAGAACACTAGAGTCTATGCCTCTTAAAGAATGAGAATATCTTGCCAGTCTTCCCATCTCACTAAAGAAAAAGGATATTACTAATGTCATCTTTTCCCTTTAGCCCAAGTCTCCTTAGTTAGTGTCATTCTCTCCTGAACAGCTTCGCTACTTGTATTTGCTACTGATGTCACGGCTTTGGCAAGCAGGGTAATTGCTGTAATTCTGACAACTTTATTGTTGTCTCCAAGTGTGTTGGGAACCACAGTATGAAAGGATTCAGTCTTGGTAATTTCTCTCTTGTACATCCAGGTAGATGGATAAAGAATTGTTCAGAATTGGTCTGTGCAAATTCCAGAAGAACCTTTCCCCATATATTAATGTAAAAGCCACTTCATATTCCAAAGGTTTGAGTGGTGTAAGTGTGATGATCTTACCCTAGATATCTTCCTAATTCCAATGCTTTCTTCCTAGTCTCAGTGTGTGAGTTGTTAACACTTTGATACCTTTCTGGATTTTTTTCCTAAACATTTAGCCTCATTTAGAGGAAAGGGCACTTCCTGAAGTTGAGATGTGCAACAGCTGTATTCCTTACCTGTTTTGGCAATGATTTTGCACATTTTGTTTCCACAGAATTCCCAAAGTGCGTGTACTGGAAGATGAAGAAGGCTCTAAAGAGATTGAGCTGTCTGATGACCCTTACGATTGCATTCGACTTAATGTGGAGAATGTGCCCTTAATTGTCACATTAAGCAAAGTAAGCCTGACAAATTCCTGACCTACAGTTTCTATTAACTTCACCTGCTGTTTATTTTTTTCTCTGAAGATAGAACTTGTATTACAGATATAGTCAGTGTCCACTGTGTATGTATTTGTTCATCTTGAGCTTCCTAATTAAGAAGAACTGAATAAGGTTTTATTTTTCCCCATCTCTGACTTGCAATCAGAGATTCGCAATTTCTACTTGATTCATTCTTAAAATGCATCTTCTTGTATGCAGAAGAATTGCTTATTATTTTTCAAATAATTCTTGCTCAGTATCCAGAGCGGCACATCCTTTAGTATGGTAAAACAAATGGTTATTGTTGTGAGGGGCAGAGGTTGTGTGATCTGCCTGGAGTTACATGACGAGTATTTGTTTCTGGGGGCAGAACTCCGTTTTCGTGGGTGCAATACTAGCCTTCAAATAGGTTTTTGTTTTCCTTCTCCTTACATAGCACACAGCTAATACAGTTGGTTTGCTGGACACTGTATTTTCCATTGCAAGAGTGAGCCGTTTGCTTAATTACCTGAAAGTTTTTCTGACTTTTCATTTAAGCAAGCTGCATAAATAGTGGAAAAGCCATCAGTGAAGTGAGGGCTCACCTGGGTGTTGGGATGTACAGTTTTAACTTAAAGGGGAGGAAAGTCTGTTCTTGGAGTTGGGGGAGAAAAGGAAGAGATGAAAGAATAGATGAAAGGATGGTCAGATTGAAAACCAGTATGAAATAGTGATGTGCTTATCTCACCTCTGTTATGTACATACACACAATTTTGGGTCAGAGGCTGTTTAAATACTCTGCTGTCAAGTCAGTCTCTGGCTGCTACTAGAGGCCACATGATAAGAGGGTGGGAGGCTATAGATAACTAACAGAGCTACATTTTAGCATCTTAATAAAGAGCTTAGACAATTGCAAACTAATACATCATCTTGCCACTAACTTACAGATTGGCTATAGGCATGTGGTGGATGCTACCCTTGAGGAAGAAGCCTGTTCTTTGGCCAGCCTGCTTATTTCTGTGACCGGTAAAGGCGCCCTGACTTCTATGAAGAAAGTGGGGAAAGGTAGCCTGGATCCTGAGAGTATCTTTGAGATGATGGAGGTAAGTTCTGACCAGTTAGTGTCTTGGATGAACTGGAACTTGGGTATATGAAAAGCTGCAGTAAGGACTTGAAGAGCAGAGATCTTTGTGTTTTGATGAAGTGCACACGGGACTTGCTGAAGGTCACAGACTCTCTGAAACAGAATCTGCTATGAGTGGATGTTAGCCAGAACTTTTAGATACCTGAAATGTATGGTGCTCATGTTTGTTTCAGCTAAGTACTTCACAGCTGTAAGACTGTAAAGCTTAAGTTAGTAAACTTGGAGAGTATTTTTAAAGAACATGTTCCCTCTCTCACTGTTTCCCTTAAAAGACAGAAAGAACAAAACTTCTAACATGGTGAAGTCTCTATAGAAGTAGAGCTGGTATTCTGAATTGCCAGTGCATGGTGTTCTCTTCTAGCACAACTCATTATTTTTTGTGATAAACTTACTGTTCTCATTTTACTGTTGTTTTTTCTTTCCTCCTTTACTGGGTTTCTGATCTGCCCCCACTCCATGAAAATACTAGTACCTGGATGTTGTTCACATCCACATAAGAATTCCATTTGAAACCTTTCTTCGGGCTCTTTTTAAATCTGTTCTCCAGTATAAATTCTCATGTTTGGCTTGAACATGAGACAGAAATGGGGTTTGAACTTGGAGTAAGAATGAAAATTATATACTTCAAACTGGCTCTGTTTCCTAGAGATCCAGAACTAGTTTCAGTATGGTTCTATTCAGGAATGCAGAACCTGGAGCCAACTTTGAAAACAGTTGGTCTCAAGTGGAAATTACATGCTAAGTGTATATGGCAGTTCAACTGTTTCATGAGGTCAGAGTGCTAATCTTGGTAGTACCAGTGGGCTTTTGTTTGCATTCAGAGATGTCACCTCCTTAGTTTGGTAGAGTTGTTGTCACTAATCTGGCATCCTAAAGAAACCAAACTTCCCATGAATATCTGATTTCTCTTCCTTGATGGATTTTGAGTCCAGTTCTAACTCAGTATCATAGAAGACTTGAGGTTTTGGGTTTAGGGCTGTTACAAAGAGATGGCTGATTTGATCAGAGCCAACTGATTACTAATTTCACTCTGTATTGAGCCCTAAATAGGAAATAAACTTGTGCAGTTCCCTTGTGTAGCCTGCCCCCAAACGCTGTGCTTGGGATTCTGTAATGCTCATCTAAACACTAATCAGATGTGCACAGAAGGTAACCATAGGATATCTTGAAACTGCCCTACTCTGCTGAAGAGCTTTAGTGAACTTTTCCCTACTTTTGGTGCAAGGAGTTAGAAGCTTAACTGAAGTTGTGTTGTCTCTCACTTGCTTTGGAAGAAGTCTTCCCTCCTGGATGGTGAGCAGCTTGAAGGAGTGAGGGATAAAGCTGATCAGAAGAAAATAAGATGCTTTCTGGGAAGTTAAAGATTATGTGTTTGGCCCTGCCTCAAACTCAGCAGCCTGGTTAGGATACCAAGAAAAACAAAAAGGCCTGGGAATGTCCAGTGGAGGAGCTGTGTAACCCTTTCTTGACACCTCCATTCCATAAGGATTTGGCTGCGGGTCAGAGGGTGTTCAGCTCTCCCTGCCTGGTGGAGAGCAGATGTTCTAGGACTAATCTCTTAGGAAGGCAGCTTCATGGGAAAGCTTGGGAAGCTGTCAGCATTACTGAGTTCGTGATCCAAGCCATAAGAGAGGCAAGCAGGAATAACATGGCAACAGCATTGTGTCAATACCAAAGCTCTGCACAGTTCCCATTCACTTTGACCTGGTGTGAGCAATGCTGTCCTGCATTTGAGGAGAAGAATGCATGAAGTGTATCACCTCTCAGGATTCAGGCTGCTGTTGTGATCATTGTCCCAGTGTAGGGCTGTAGCACTGCTTCCATGTTCTCCCCCTTATTTAGCATGACTCAGAGTGTCTAGGATATGCAGCTACCCAGCTGCATCAAAGCTCTTCCCATATTTCCTTTGGCCATAATCTGGCCAAACTCTGGGCTATATTCTGGGCCGTGTGCTGTCACCTGGTTCTTCGATGAGAAATGTACCTTACTTTAATGTCTGTGTGCCTGTGGTGTTGGCAGTTGTCATCAAGAGGGGACAGAGAGCTTTGTAGTCAGCAGTATGGCAGGCATAGGCTTTGTTACATACATCAGGAGCTGATAAACTCAGTTTACTTTAATCTGTGGCTTTTCAGGGAGAGGTGGGCTCTCTTCATCTCTGTATGGAGTCGGTATTTCAGGTTGTTCAGGGAAACCCTTGGGAAGGTCTAACAGGCACTGCCATAAGATCTTTATTTCAGCATTGCCCAATGGTTCCTTATCCTGTAGCTTCCACAGTTCGTGCATGTGGGAAGAGGCTGGTACTAGAGCTAATCCTGGTGGGTTTCCACTGCTGAAGATTATTTCTGTAAAGAAAATCTTCCGTTAACTCCTTAAAGGTCCATGGACAGTACAGAATTGCATGTCATAATGACGGATCTGCCCACAGACTAATTTGGTGAATGCAGCCAGTGTGTCCTTCTCTGGCCACAGAACAGGGCATTGAGCTGGTTTAAATTCACTCTGCTGATACTGAGCATGTTCAGAAGAGTTTATTGAACTTCATATTAGTAGGCTGCTTTGCTGGTCAGGTATCTCTTGTCCTCTGGCAGCTAGCATACAGCTTCATATGACATATAATCATAGAATGGTTTGGGTTGGAAAGGACCTTAAGATCATCCAGTTCCAACCCCCTGCCATGGGCAGGGACACCTTGAGCTAGACCAGGCTGCTCCAAGCCCTGTCCAACCCGGCCTTGAACACTGCCAGCCACAGCTTCTCTGGGCACCCTGTGCCAGCGCCTCAGCACCCTCACAGGGAAGAACTTCTGCCTTAGATCCAATGTGAACCTCCCCTGTTTCAGTTTGAACCCATCATCCCTTTCCCTGTCGCTACAGTACCTGATGAAGAGTCCCTCTCCAGCATCCTTGTAGCCCTCTTCAGACACTGGAAGCTGCTCTGAGTTCTCCACGCAGCTTCTCTTCTCCAGGCTGAACAGCCCCAACTTTCTCAGACTGTCTTCATACAGGAGCTGCTCCAGCCACTGCTCATCCTCATGTGCTCCTCTGGACTTGCTCCAACAGCTCCATGTCCTTCTTATGCTGAGAACACCAGCCCTGCACACAGTGCTGCAAGTGGGGTCTCACGAGAGCAGAGCAGAGGGGCAGGATCACTTCCTTTGACACTACTTTTGATGCAGTTCAGCACAGGGGGGGTTTCTGGGCTCAAGTTGCCACTGAAGCGCCTCTTGTTCAGTTTCTCTCCAGCCAACACCCCCAAGTCCTTCTCCATATATGCTGCTTAGTTTGAATGTGTGCTTGTGCTTGATGTGAATTTAATTTGTATTCCTAGGTGATCCAGCACTGCACAGATTGAGTATTAATGGTCATGGAATGCTTTTCTGATCAGTGTGAGCACTGCCTTTATGTGTAGATTTTTCTAAAACTGAATCAAATTAAAATGAAACTTCCACTGCCATTATTTTTCTTAATTAAAAGCCTATTTTTGTTACACCAGCTGGTCCGTATGAATCATTAAAGGGAAAATATTTGTCAAAAGGAAGTGTTCTGTGAGGGTTGTCTTCCTGTTAATAAGCATATGTCTCAAATTCGGTTTGCTTCCTTTGCATTGCAGACGGGGAAAAAAGTAGGCAAGGCATTGCACGTGGCCCTTCAGAAGATTCTGGATGAAGAAGAGAGTCTGGGGACGTCACGGCAGAAAGTTGGATTTCTAGGATGAGTTTTTATTAAATGTTCAAAACTGGTTTTAACTGATGGTCTAATCTTGTCAGTTTGTATATAGAAAAAGGCGTTTTTTTGCTCCAGTACCTTTATCCCTCTGGCTAAAAGGCTTTTAAAATGTTCCTAAGCAAAGAAAGCTACAGTTCAATGTGAATAAGCAAGTCTGAGATGCTTTGCATATGGGTAACAGTTTGCACCTGGAAAATGCACTACCAGTAATTGATGCAATTGCCTGGGAAGTGCTTGAGTCTGTTTTCACGAGTGACTGGCGTAGGTTCCACTTAATTCTGTTTCCATGTGTTCCAGTTCTGCAGACCAGCTCCTGTGTTCTAGAGTGTATATGAGGTTGTCCTTCATACAGCACAAAACAGGTTTTGGGCCTCTTGAATTTGGTTTTTTGTTCACCAGCCAGATGAGAACAGCATTTGGTGGAATTCTTTCATCAAATTATCTTAATTTGAATAAAATATGGTTAGATTTTACTATAAATACAACATGGTTCCAAGTTTCCAATTAATATTTTAAACCAAGATTTCTTTACTCACTAGAGCTCTGCCTATCCCTTTTGCCAACAGGTGCAACAGTAACCTAGCCAAAACCTCTCATGGTGGCTAAGGAGAAGGGAAAATAAGTTAATTGCTAGGAGTTTGATAAATCAGCTGGAAAAGCATAGTGGCTGTCAGTAATAAGCCTTTCCAGGAAAAGACAGAAGCTGGCAAATAAGGTATGCAATCAAGTTGTATCACCAGGTCTTCAAAGCAGTGCATTCTCTCCCTACATCAATTGGCTGGCCCAGCATAGAGTAAGAACTGTTTATTTGGCAGGATATAAAGAGACAACAGATGGAAGAAGTCAAAGGAAGAAGTTGATTTTCAAGAAGTTGGTATTTTAGCTGTAAGTGTTAGGAGGATCATTTTGAACAAACATGGTAAAATTCACTACAATAACCGAGGAATCGTTTAGATCTTACTCAAGCAGTGTTTTCTGTTTTAATTTCTTAATATCAGATTAAGAACATTCCCTTGGCTGGAACATGTCTAGTGGGAAGAAGGGGAAGGCTTTTCTGAGGAAGAGCTGTAGATATAGGACAAAACTCAAATGAATAATCATGATCACACTAAAATATATAGTGTACTTAAGGTCACCAAGTGTCTTCAGCCCTTTGCCTGGAGCTCACTTGCATGACCATTCAAGGTACAGTAAGTACTACTGTGTCTTTCAGGTATGTGTAGCTACTACTACAAGGAGCAGGCAGGTTAAAATAAATAAATGCATTAAAAAGGTCCCACAAAATTTGCCCAAGATATACCTATTTTGAAGAGGTGGGATTCTTTTCAATACCTTAAGTAAGGGGTTAGGCAGGTTGTGATAGTGCTATGTAGTAATACAGCCAAGAAGTGACAATCATTATACATAGCTTTATATATATATCTTTAATCACTCTAGTAGAGTTTCTCTGTGTGAGGCAAAGACTAACCTAACATCAGCTTGCAGCAGCTGTGATCCATTCCTTGCCACACAGATCTAGGTGAAGGAATGTAGAAAGAAAACTGAAGGGAGAATAAATGTTTATACTATCTTAGACTTAACCACAGGCAGTATTTGTTTGGTCATGTATTTAACATTTCAGAAAATGCTTAATCCAAATGAGGATTGCAAGTCAAACCACAGCTGAATAGTTGTTGCTTGTTTTATTACAGATTAGTGGTTGGATACCAAAAGGCTGCCCAGAATTACTTCCAGGGTGAATTTTATAACATGGTAATAACAGTGTATGTCTGTGTAGCCTTCCAGCTGAAGGATCTCCGAGTGTTTTGCAAGTTACATCGTTTAAGATGCTGCTTGTCCCCTCTCCAGAGCCTTTTCATTTTAAATTGATTGCTATGAGAGCTGGCAGGAGGGGAGAAACTTAGTTGCAAGTGTGTTAACTGACTCCTTTGTGGAGGTGAATGTGTGTGCATTCCCTCTCCACCTCTTACTAAGGATAGAAAATACTTAGCCCATTTGAGATCTAGGCTATGCACTCAAGGTACCTAAAAAGCAGACTTTTGGTACCTGAGCATCTGTGTGTACAAAATTGGCTACCTTGGTCACAAAATACTTGACTCCAAGGACTTTGAGAGCATCATTGTAAATTAATACAGTGCAAGTATCTGCAGTGCCTCCACCCCCAGGTCTTCTGTAACTATGTACCTAGGCATGGAATGAATTGGGGATCTTCAAGGGGTCCTATTCCTTCCTCACTTGCTACCTCCCATCTGTGGGCATGGCAAAGCAGTGGGGTGGAGTGTGACCCAAGTTCAGACTGGGGCTGTTTCTACCCCTGAGATACAAATAATGAGCCTGGCCAGAAGTAGTATACAGCTGCTAGTTGGTCTCAGCTGCCCCTGGAGGTTTGCTGCTACCAGCTCATGTCCCAGATGGATAAACAAATCTCTGAGAGGGGTAAAAGGGCCTGCAGCTCTCCCAGCTGATACAGCATCTGCTAAGGAATCTTTGAGATCTGTGGTTCTCAGGCATGCTAAGGGCTATGCTGCCCATTTCTATTTTCTTAACTCTCTTTAACCCCTCCCTTCCATTCCAAGCAAAAATAGCAGTTAGATTTTTAAAAGAGGCTTCAACTGAGCCTGCTCCTGTTCCCATCTGGGCTGGTGGAAAGTTCCATGTGTTGCTGTGCCACGTTTTCATTGACTCAAGTCCAGTGGAACTAAGAGGAAACATCTGCAGAGTGGGATAGCTCTCTGTTTGTCCCAGAAATTAATTGCTTCTGCTGGGAGTGTCGAGAGGCTGAAAACTGTGTACTAGAGATGAGGAATCTAGCAGCTCCTGCTAGGCTTCTGCTTGAGTTGCCTAAAAAGCACCCAGCTGCAGTTTACCTCTTTGGGTTTTTTGTTTTCCCCGTGTATCCCAGCTTGAAAGTCTGTTTGACAGGGGCAGGTCCCTTGGAGCAGGAGTGGACCTGGCTGGTTTGTACTCAGGTTCCTCCAGATCCGTGTTTATACTCAGGGTGATGCACAGCAGATTTACCAAGCCCAAGGATCCTGTCAGCCAATGTTTTGCAACCACGGTAGCGGTTCAACCTTGTAGTTGTGTGGTTTGGGGAGGAGAGGGGAGCTTGTTCTGCCCTAGGGGTGGGAGTGGAGGCAATGGGGAAGAGAGGGGCTATGCTACCTGCAGTCAGGCTTTGTGAAAACCTGCTTCAGCATAGCCTGTTAGTGTGAGCCAGAGCTTGCTCATAGAATCATAGAATGGTTTGGGTTGGAAAGAACCTTAAGTTCATCCAGTTCCAACCCCCTGCCATGGGCAGGGACACCTTCCACTAGAGCAGGTTGCTCCAAGCCTTGTCCGGCCTGGCTTGAACACTGCCCGGGATTGGGCAGCCACAGCTTCTCTGGGCACCCTGTGCCAGCACCTCAGCACCCCCACAGGGAAGAACTTCTCCCTTGTATCTGAACTCCCCTGTTTAAGTTTAAACCCATCGAGAGTGTGCAATTCATTAAGGGACTCAGCACCTTGGTTTGACACAGGTAATATGAAGTTTCTGCATTTTCTGTCTAAACAGGAATTAACTGGGACTTACCACCTTCTGCTAGGACTGCCTCCAGCTTTTCGTTTAAACTCCAGCAGATGCCACTTCCCTCCTCAGCAGCAGGATGTTCTCCAGCCCTGCTGTAGCACTGGTTTACTTTGCCTGTGTAAGCAGCCACTGACACCCAGAGAGGGAGGAAGAAGTGACTGTGACTGGTGAGACCTGAGTGCTCCAGTCCTTACCCCAGAGCCTTGTTCCCTCCCTTCACATGCTTGAGCAAAGGGCAAGAGCAGGTCTGCAACTGGGACTGAAGCTTTTCAGCCTTTGTGCTATTCCTCCCTGCTCTCCAACCCCTTGTCTCCTAGTAAGGTGCTGCCTGTTTGCACACCCTGCAGCTGTTCCTTCCAAGGACAAATGTGGATACAGCTGCCAGGGGCTGGTTTCAGGCTGGCACTTTAAATGCCTGGTTCCTCACTCCTTTCACTTTGGTGGAGTCCCTGACTCCCCGTGATAGTGCTTGGCCATAGCAGGGCACTTTGGTACCCATCTACCCACAGAGTGACTGCAGTGCCGCTGTTACTGCATAGCCAGAAATGCAGCTGATCCAAGGACAAACTAAGACCTTTTTAGGATCTCGAGCATGCTGCTGTTAATGACTCCTTGGTGATGGCTTCAACCTCAAGTTCATCGACTGGAACACTTTAATAAGGCTGTGGTTAGCTTCCAAGCTCTGGGAACATCTCTTGCTCTTCTATTCTCTAGATGAGGATAAGAGCAGCAGCACAGGCACACCTGAGTTTTCACATCATGCCATTTGTAAATGAGATTTGAGCTCCCTGAGTGTCGTGGTTTAAGCTTCTGCTGACTCCCTTCC